CAACACCTAACAACAACGTGCAAACGAATGAAGCTGGACGCATACCTCATACCAGATATGTAAATTAACTCAAAATGGACCAATGAGCTAAATATAAAAACTAAAACCATGCAACTCTTAGAAGAAAACATGAGTAAAAGTTTCAGGATCTTGTTTTTGGCAATGGATTCTTAGCTATGACACTTGATGAAAATTAAAAACTTTTGTGCATCAAGGGACATTACCAAGAAAGTGAAAAGACAAACTACATAATAGGAGAAAATATTTGAGAACCGCATATCAGATAAGGGTTTAATATCCAGAACTTTAAAAGAACTCTTACAACTCAACAACAAAAAAGACGAGCAACTCAATTTTAAAATGGGCAAAGGACTTAAACATTTCTCCAAAGATGATATACAAATGGCCAATAAGCACATGAAAAGATGCTCAATGTTATTAGCCATTAGGGAAATGCAAATCAAAACTATAGTGAGATACCACTTCACACCTACCAAGGTGGCTATTATAAAGAAAGCAAAAACAAAAACAAAGAAACAAAATGGAAAATAACAAGTGTTGGCAAGGCCGTGGAGAAAGCGGAACTCTCATCCATTGCTGGTGGGAATGTAATATGTTAGTTGCTGTTTGGCAGTTCCTCAAAAAGTTAAACATAGAGTTACTACATGACCCAGTAATTCCACTCCTAGGTATATATATACCCCCCCAAAAATTGAAAGCAGGGACTCAGACATTTGTACACTGATGTTTATAGCACCATTATTCACAATTCACTAAAGAATATGGATCAGTGCCATAAGAAATTTAACCATAATCTTTTAACTATAAAAGAAGTTATTTATTAAGATCTATGCCATAGTGTTCTGCTGCTTAAAATCTAAAATACACACATTTGAAATTTACAAATTCAGCACAACCAAACTGCTGTTAGACAGGAAAATACAAAATATTTACAGGGTAGACAAGCAAGTGATGTGGTATATGGCACACAGTGAGTGAACTATTTTAATACCAACAGAGGTAGGGAAGAATCAAAGAAAAAAAAATCCACTCACTTTGTTTGTTAGGAAATCTCTTTAATCTTTTGAGACTTTCTGAAAACCCTAAATGGGGTGAGGAATTGAAGAGTTGCAAAGATGAGAGTAATCAGTTACAGAATATAGTCTGAGGAATATGTTCTAGAAACAGATGAATAATGTCATTTAGAAGAAACCCTAAATAAAATGACCAGGGTGGGCAAGAAAAAAGTGGGAATTCAGTTTTCTCAATTTCAGCCAAGCCAAGTAATTCAGAACAAGGTGAATAGCCTTCAGGCAGACGATTAAAAAAAAAAAAAAATTACCCACAAGAAATTTTATCTCATGAGTATGATTCCAATTGCTGATCTTAGTTTACTCTGAAAATAAGGGCAAGAGTATCAATTATTTCAACCATGATGTTTTTAGTAGTGGATGCTATCTGGCTAAGATACTAAAGACTAGACAACTTTGGGTTCTCAAAACAAGTGCTTTTCATTACATTTTCTGGATATAAATTATTCAGTCCAATATTTTAAGAAAACTAAGTCCAAATAGTCACCATTCTCAAAGTATGGGAATAAGATTAGTATATGCTTATTTAGCAATGTGAGAACATTATTTCTTTTTATAATGAAGAAATTACTTTTCACTGTGATTTATTTTGGGACCAGGTGATCATCAGTTTAACAAGGTTACTAAGAATGAACTTACATAAGGAAGTTATGGTGATTTTAATATAGAAAGCTTTTATCCAGAAAATTATTTTTCACATCACTAGTGTGAAGCAGACTGCAAACAATTCTGATAGGCTCTTAAAATCTTAGTTTTTAAACTTACAAATTAAACATATAAACATTTAAATTCCTTGTGACAACTTTTAGCTTTGTGAATTTATAATTTATATCATAAATTTACACGTCTTTCTCTTAGATTTGAATGTTGTCTTAATTTACAAGGACGCTTAATCAACATAAGGTGCAAATCCATAAACCCAGTGCAATAAATAAAAGTTAATTCTCTCTTGTGATGCTCTGCATCTCCAGTCATTAGAATTGAAGTTAAAGGTTATAGGTGAAGAAATTTATATCTTAAAATTTCATTTTTAATTTATAGGGAGAAACTATGTTAATTGCAGGATGAACCTACCTAAATTTGCTTCTCCATTGGACTTAACAGCTAGTCTTAACTATTTATTTTCATTTAAATTCTTTTAATATTGATTTTTTTAATACGCCAATCTACTTCCCAAAAGGATTGTGGCCATTTATTAGCCTTTTCAGATCTACATATAGTGCTTTTTAGACATGAAAATTCCACTAAAAGATTATTCACAGTAGTTTGGGAAATAAATTTCTTGCAAAAGGTAGTAAGATAAAACAAGCAAAGCTAAGATTAATGGTGGCAGGGATTAAGTCATTCAATGCTTTGTAAATCAGGTTCGAAAACTAGGAATAGTGTTAAAGTCTGTTGAAAAAAATGCCCATATAGACACCTGCAACAATTCAGCCATCATGTAATAGGTACCCCGTGAAACTGAAAAAATGGTTAATACGTGATGATGCAGTCGGAGAAATCTAAGACTACAGAAAGGTGATTTTAAATGGTAGAACTGGCAAATTTACAAGCAGGAAGAGGAGGGGCTTCTGAGCAGAGCACAGACGTTTTCAAATCCTGGAGTACAGGGGAAGTGCTTTGGAATTTCAAAAGCAATTAAGTCATTGCAAGGTTAAGATAAAAAAGCAAGGAGAACAATTATGACTCATCATTACTGTTCACTGCTGCCAAGAATTCTCGTTGTGCTAATAAACATCACCATCAATTATGTATTTTGACTTAACTCATGATTCAAGTCACACAATTACAGTGAAAACGTCTGTCTTTAAAGGGAAGAAAATCCATTAGTAGTTAGAAAAATATCTTTCTAGGTAGGTTTGTTTTTTATGTAGGTTTGTTAAGCTGAAAACACAAACCAGCTACCTCAGCAATTTATGGTCAATTATAAACTGATTTGACAACTGAGTCAAAGCAAGGAAGTTTTTATTGGACAAACTGTCATTGGGATGTGGCCTCAAACTGCAGAGTCAGCAAAAAGTACAAAATTATCTGGTTGTAAAACTTGTCTTTGTCTCTTGAGTTGCATTAATTAATCTCTTTGATTTGACCACCAACACCTGATAAAATGTAAAGAGGGAAAACAAAGAATTTAAAAATAACATGGTATTGTTTAATTAAAGTTTGTTTTCTAAAAATCGGAAACCCTGGTGACATAGTGGTTAAGTGCTACAGCTGGTAAACAAAAGGTCGGCAGTTCAAATCCACCAGGCACTCTTTGGAAACTCTATGGGGGCAGTTCTACTCTGTCCTGTAGGATGGCAATGGGTTTTTTTTCCTAAAAATCAAATTCCTCAAGCTGGATGTCTGTAGGAAGGGATAAAAAACACAATCACTAAGAAGCTAGGTGAATGGCTAAGTGGTCAGAACAAACACCTGAAGGACAAAGCATAGCTTTACGTACCATGGTGTCACTGAAACATCACGACTGGAAACCAAGTAACCTGAATTCCACTCCTGTCTGCTGCAACTGGTTATGTGACCTTGGGCTAATAACAAGCTAAGTTTCTATTTCTACAAGAAACTGACAAAACTGCAGGGTTTGGTTGAGCCAGATAGTTTTTAAGGTTCGCTTCCAATTTAAATTGAGAAAATTTACCAGACCTTTATACCAGACAGCCCTACCTGGAATGTTATGATCTGATAGAATGGTAGTTTCTAGGAACCAGTTAAAAAACCAGTTGCCCTGGCACAGATTCCAACTCATGGTGACCTCAAGTGTGTGGGAGTACAACTGCATTCCATAGGGTTTTCAATAGCTGATTTTTGGAAGTAGGTCATTGGGCCTTTCTTCCGAGTCACCTCTGAGTGGACTAGAACTTCCAACCTTTCAGCTAGCAGCAGAGCTCGTTAATCATCTGCACTACCCAGGATCTCTAGGAACACCAGTATGCATACATGAAAAAATTACTAGTAGAGATAAAATGATGGGTTTTGACAACAATTGTTGCAGCTATCATTCTCAAAACAGACTGAACTCCCATGGTTCTTGAAGTGAAGTAACTATAGGTCATACAATTGGTCTTTTCAACTATATCAATATACCTGGGGCAACCGTATTTTTAGCAGCAATGTTTGTTAAATTTGGGGCCAGTGATATACTTACTATCTTCTTGATACTACTATTTCAGAAGCGAAACCAATTTACGTTTATCAAAAGCAATTTATACATTATGCTAACAACCCTTTATTTCCAAGACCTTTTAAACTATATGTTAATATTTTAGCAGGTTTTCTCAGTCAATAGATTATTTGATTTGACATCAGAAGTTTGGGCCTAACTCTGCAGTTGTTTAACACTGAAAATTAAATGTTAACAGGTTAATGAATGAGTTATGAAACGGTTATTTTTTTTTTACTCCCTGATCTCTTACCAGTTCCTCTCTCCCCTTTCCCTCACTCCCCCTGGCCACTTTACTCAACTCATAGATAAGGACTTAAAAAAAAAAAAGACTGCCCAGAAAACAGAATCTTTTCTTCCTATTATAACACTGAGCTCCTAGTGTTATTAAAAGAATCACACAGAGTCCACTGATTGCCTTTGTGATAATTACCGGTGGAGAATGCAAAAGGAGGACCTGGGATCTTATTAAGGGACGTATCAGTGGACTTCATTGTATATTACATTGCATCTTCAGTTCTGGTAGTGCAGTACTTCAATGACTTCATGCATGAAATAATTTATCACTGAAACTGAGCTTGTGTTTTTTTTTAAAAAAAAAAAAAAAATAGCACCTATGGTTACGGAGGGAAAACTGTAGTCTAGTTTCTTCAATACATCTGTTTCTTATCAATTCATGAAATCAGAGTACACGTAATAGGAAGATAGTTACCAAGAGTGGTGAAAACCAACTACCATGTAACTGAAAATACCACATTTAAGATACAAATACATACTGAAAATGTAGCAATGTCAAGAAAATTGGGCAATTAAAAAAATTCTTACTTGTTAAAGGCAATTAATTCTCTTATCTTTAAAATCATCCATTTTAACATCTCCAAAAAAGTTGAGTATTTTTATTTTACATTGACATTATGTAAGTTAAAATAAAAAGGACAATCAAGTGGTCTCGTGAACTGGAAGGTGACTTATTAATTCCCTTTCATTTCCAAACCTCATCAAGCAGTCACTACATTTATGAGGTAAGTCAGCTGAATGTTTGAAGTCCAGATGAATTTTAAGATCGTCAATTTGTCCTGTTGAATATTCACAATACTGACATAAATAAATCCTCTCAGATAAATGAGAATTTAAATGCTTGCAATATTCTAGCATACTTGAGAAACCTTTCCCACAGTCATCACAAACATGAGGAAAAATTTTAGTATGTTCAATAGCAACATGCCTGTTAACATTTGTATGGAGCCTACTCCGAAAACCACATACTTGACATACAAAGAAGTTTTTACACTTGTCAAAGGTAATCTTGCTTAAGAGGCTGTACTGTCCATGTTCACCATTGTTGTACTTATCACTTAACTCTATTAATTTACAGGCATGCTCGTTCACCACATGGCTATGCAAATCTTCTGGATCATTCGTTTCATGTTCACAGAACTGACACAAGTACTGTTCATCACAGCTATGCTCCTGGAAATGTAAGTAGAGTTCACTGCTTGAGGAGAACTGTACATCACACTGCTCACACCAGTAGAGGTGATCACTAAAATGAGTGTCGGCAATGTGCTGGCTGAGGTTCTCAAAAATTACTGTTTTATAATCACAGTATTTACAAATGTAGGGGTCCTCCTCGTGCAGTTTGGCGTGTTCAATCAGAAGCATGTTGGTAGAGAAACTTTCTTTGCATACTCGACACACGTTTGAATCAGTACGCTTATGCTTCAGGATCATATGCTGCTTTAAATCAGAAAAATATTTGCTGTTGAACTCACAAAGTTCACATTTATAGAGGCCACTGCTATTAGCTCTCAGTAAAGGCCACTTCTGCTGGGCAGTCACATTCAAAGCTTGGCTCTTGTCAAGAAGTTTACAAAGCTTAGCTGGTGGCTCATCGTCCGTCTGGTCTTGGAGACTCTCAGAGGAATTGTTTTCTGCCTCTATATCGTAATCCTCAGAGACGGCATGCACCTCTGCAGCAATGGGAACATCTTCGGCAGTGTGAACCTCTATAGGGTTCTCCTCTTGCGTTTGCTGGTTGACTGATTCAGGTGAGTCACATTCTTCATCATCAATTTCAATATCAGCAGATTTTTCTGAAAAATAAGCCCATTATTATATTACTAAAATAAAATCTATCAAAATAAATACAACTTGAAAAAATAAAATTTTTAATACAGTTTTTCATCAACTTATACAAAAATATGTAAATTAGTTTCCCTAATATGTAATATGTAAATTAGTTTCCCTAACCTGTAGGAAAGGCAGTGTGATCCAGAATTCTAAGTACAGGACTGGGAACCAGGTAGTTCTGATTTCTGTTTCTGGCCTTGATTCCGTCTGTAAATTTTGGCAACTCATTTGATGTCTCCGTATCCGAATCATCATCTGCAAAAAGGGATTTTGAAAAATACTTATTATTTATATCACAGCATTAAGCATTAATTATTATAAAGCAATTACAACACCAAATATTTCTAATATACTTTTGAATTCCAACAGGAACTAAGGGCTTGGATTTAGCCATGAAAAAAGATGATATCTATATACCCCAGACACACAGAAAATCTGCCCAAACAAGCAGTTGCTTTTATGCCCCATCTGGACCAGAATATGTTTTTTTAATGTTACTTAGAATTTTACATTTATATTACTGCGTTTCAATGAGTCTTTATTCCCTCAGGACTGCTCTAGGATTTTAAAGCCAGGGTGGTAAAATCCCCTGAAATACAGGTTAGTAGAAATACTGGGAGCCCTGGTGGCACAGTGGATAAGAGCTCAACTGCTAACCCAAAGGTCTGCAGTTCAAATCCACCAGCTGCACCTTGAAAACCCTATGGGCCAGTTCTACTCTGTCCTATAGGGTCACTATGAGTTGGAATCCACTTGACAGCAATGGGTTTGGTTTTGGGTTTAGAGAACACTGAAGGAGCCCTGGTGGTACAGTGGTTAAGCACTTGGCTGTTAACTGAAAGGTTGGTGGTTCAAAGCACCAGCTGCTCTGTGGGAGAAAGATGTGGCAGTCTGCTTTTGTAAAGATTACACCGTTGGAAATTCTATCGGACAGTTCTACTTTGTCCTATAGGGTCGCTACCAAGCCAGAATCAGCTTGTTGGCAACTGGCTGTTTTTTTTTTTAAAGAGAATATTGGGCTTCAGTAGTTTTTCTTCATAGACTTCATTTTTAAGAACAGTTTTAGAGTTACAGACAAATTGATAATACAGAAAATTATCATATACCTTACACCCAGTTTCTCCTACTATTAACTTCTTATATTGGTAAAACATTTGTTACAATTAATGATACACTGATATCAGATACATTATTGTTAACTAAAGTCCATACTAAGGAGCACTGGTGGCACATTGGTTAAGCACTTGGCTGCGAACCAAAAGGTCAGCGGTTTGAGCCTACCAGCCACTTTACAGGAAAAAGATGTGGCAATCTGCTTCTGTAAAGATTACAGCCTTGGAAACCCTGTGGGGCAGTTCTACTCTGTCTTATACAGTCACTGTGAGTCTGAACGTACTCGACAGCAGTGGGTTTTGGTTTTTGGAAAGTCCATATTTTAACCAGATTTCCTTAGCTTTTACCTAATGTCCTTTTTCTATTCTAGAATCTCACCCAGGATACCACATGACATTTGGTTGTCATGTCTCCTTAGGCTTCTCTTGATTATGACAGTCTCTCAGTCTTTCCTTGCTTTTGATGACCTTGACAGTTTTGAGGAGGACTGGTCAGGTATTTTGTAGGATGCCTCACTAACAGAATGTATCTGATGTTCTTCTCTTGGTAAGACTGGAGTTATGGGTTACTGGGAGGTACACCACAGAGGTAAAGTACCATTTTTCATCATATATTGGTATGCTTTGGAAGGAAATCGCTATGCATAGTCCACATTGAAATATTGGGAGTTATGTTCTACCTCCATGAGAAAGGAGTATCTACATCAATAATTTGGAATTCTTCTGCACAAGAGATTTGTCTCTTTTCTCCTATTTATTTATTCAATCATTTATTTATATCAGTATGGTCTCATGGATTTTTTTTATACTTTGGTATATAATCCAATACCTTTTTGTTGCTACTGTTGCTCAAATCATTCCAGCTTTGGCTATTGCGAGCTCTTTCAGTTGGTTCCTGTGCTCCTTTGACATACCTCTAATCAATGGGTTTTGTTTCGAGCACTTCCTTACTTTCTGGCACTACACAATGCTCCTGGCTTATGTATATTTCCTGCCCCACTTCTAGAATCAGCCATTTCTCCAAGGAGCAATTAAAAAAAAGGACCCTTTTATTGGAGAATGGTACTAGACACCCAAATCTGTGTGTTAGGTGTGTTTGCTGTTACTGGGTTGTCATTTCTTTTAGGCCCTCTCCGCTGATATAGCAAAAAAGCGTGTATATCCTAACCTATGCATATATACGTGTCTATAAATATCTCTATATGTAACCATCTGTATTTATCTCGAGCTAAACACGAGCTCATACAGATGACTCTGATTCTACACATTTTTACAATTTTATGTTTCTGTGCCTGTAATAGGAGCTCAAGTGAACTGGGAGCTTCAGTGGTTCCAGAGGAAGAAGAGGACAAGTGTCAGTTGTTCTTACCACTCACCCAATGCTCTAGAAAAGACGAGTCAATAAAGAATACGAGATCAGAAAAGACTAAGTCCTTCACCCTCTGTTCTTTCATTAGCTCTCCAGACTGAGTGGCATGGCTGAGTGTGAAGGCTGTGCATAACCCTTTTCTTAACTTTTTCACCACAAATGCTCCCCAGTTCTGGACCACTCCTGCTTTGCCACCAATTCCTAGCCAACTTGAATGGATTCTGGTGAGTGAGCTTTTTATTTACATGTCTGAAATAATTGAAGAAATTAAAATTCATTTAACCACTTTCTTAAAAACAACAACAAAAACAAAACGTTTGTTTTCTTAAATTAAAACAAATTCCAACACTTGTCTGTTTGGAAATCATCACTTTAACCCACATTTTCAAATAAGGAAGAAACAAAAATATATAAAAGGGACATTAATAAAAGTATTTTGGAATATAACATAGACATACCTTTGTTGTCAAAATATTTCAGATCTGGCTGTCTCATAGAACAGACACTGTAACAATGATCGGAAAAAATTCCACTGAATCCATCTGCAATTCTGCTTACTCCAGAGGAATCTGAACATAAAACAAAATAAAAATTTTAAGCACAGTAACATATATACATTTAATGACAGCCATCCCTTTATCCAATATATGTAAATTTTCATATCTGTAATAAAAGCATTAATATTTTCCTCAATTAAAAAAAAACTTTTATTATTTCAGATGTGATACTAACACTGAGCTTTGAAGGAATCACCAATTATATACTTCAAAATATAGTAAGTTTGAAACACACAAAGATATATTTACCTTCAAGGCAAAATCCCACATAATATATGATACATGTTGTGGTAATTGCACCATTAACTGATAAACGTTCAGTTAAAAACACTGAATTAACTACTACCAAGAAGACCTGCTATGTAATGCAGAGAAAGCATAACATGTAAAGGAAATGGCCTGAGGATCAGTTAGGACTTCTGAATACAGTTATTTCATGTCTTGCCTCAGAGGCGGCAGTAAGCAGTAAACCAGGCTTAATTTCCTCAGATATGAAGAGCACGTAGACTGGGTGAGCTAATGGATATACCTGAGACTGTCCCAAATATGTGAGATGTATTAGTTTGAGATGGTCACAGAGACCCCTTTTCTTATACTGCTCAGATAGCAGAGCCAATCTCAATTCAAAGAGTCTAAAATTACACGATCAAAATAAAACTTGGCATTTCTGAAAATAATGTACAGGATAAAGATATTTTTTCCCCCCAAAATGATATAAAATGTCTTCCACTGAGGTTACTGCGTCTTAAGCACAGGCTTGGGAGTCAGACAAAGCAAATCCCAATTATGCCACACAAGTATATAATCTCATACATCTTATTTTAAATATTTATATTCCAAACAATTGTGAAGATTAAATAAAATAATGTCTATAAAGTTCTGATGTGTTCAGGCACATGGTAGACAATGAGGAATATACAACACAGAGGATTTATTTAACGTTTTCTCTTACCTAAAAATATAGGTATTTAACTCTTATCTCAACATTTATGAGAAAATGGATGGGAATACAAATTTCACAGAAAACAGAATTAAATCATTGATTTAACTTTAAAATAATTCAATCATACACTGACCTGAATAACGAGAAGGGTGTAAAGTCTTCCTTTTCCGTTTTTTGGGATATTCATTCATATCTTTTCAATCTTAAAAAAAATTAAGAAATATATCACAAATAATAATTCTAACAATGTTATAAAAATTCTTTCTAACCCAATAATTTATCAGTAACAAGAAATGTGTATGCCACATGAAAGTCTACTTCACAAGAGAAATGTTAAACGATGTCTCTTTTTACATTTCGGATTTATTTTTCCAGACAGGCCTAAAGGCAGGAACTGATTTCAGTTTTCTTTATTAGTAAGGTTGAGAAACAACCTCTTTTTCAAATGATGCAACTGTAAGGACAAGATAATTACAATAAGCCTTACACGTAAGTTATTTTTTATAAAAAATACTGTGCCTATGGCATCATTTTAAGAGTTTTACAGGCACATTTCCTAAAATTAGGACTATTTCAATATAGGCTTCAAGCTAAAGGCTGATACAGTCCCTTAAAAATAAGATTATCACATAGAAACTCAGAATATAAGTAATTTTCAAGATAAAATAAAAATCATTTTCTTACCTATAAAGTCACATTGAACAGTTTAAGGAGAACAGAACAGGTGTGGCAACTAGTGTAACAATTAAATTCACACGAACTGTCATAGAATTAACTAATTAGTCTCACTATATTCCACTTACTTGGTATAACTCTTAATACTGGAGTGAAGAAAAATGAATTATGGGGAAACTCCCACAGACGGTAAAAACTGCCTGTAAGTAAAACACGACAGAACTCACATAAGCAAAAATGTAGCTCATCTCTGAGATTCAAGAACACAGTGATGCCAGATCTTTAACTAAAATGTTATCAGAATTAAGTATAACGTTCTTTTGAATAAACTATACTAAGTGCTAAAAATTATATATTAGAAATGTACATATGTATGTAAACATGTTTCACATTGCCTTGACATAAATTCACCTTCTAAAGCTATAGCTACATCTTGACACTAAAATAGAAATATAAGCCTGCACTAATTTATTCAAAAATAAATTATTCAACGATGAAAGCAAACATTTTCAGTCACTGAATCACTGAGTCAGACTTTAAACTGTTAAAAAGTTCTTAAGCAGAATAATGATCATTTATTGAGCACCAATTATGCACCAGGCAGTCCACGTACTTGACCTCATTTAATCCTATGATATGCACAATCCATAACACTCTTTCAAAATAGTTTTTGTTTACCCCTTGCTGCTGATAAGGGAACTGACACATAACATTTAGCTCAAGGTTGGACAGTCAATAGGTGGTAGGGCTGGGATTTGAATACAGGTCTAAGCGCTTTTAAAGCCCATGCTTTCAATCCCTTTATTTTAGTTTTGGAAACAAATAGGGAGACAAAGTGATCACCCAATTCAAGTAAGTAGATTAGTGTCAGATTAGGACTTCTTCGTTTTTTCCACTGTGGCAGTGGGCACATAAGGAATACCAGAAAAAGAAATGCATTGTGGTTTTCTCCACCCGTTTTATACAGTGCTTTTCTTATCATCAATGGGATTTACATGGCAGGCAGAACCTGGCATCATTAGTAAGACCATTTCATTTCTAGTGGCAAAGAACTTGAGGTGCACGTTCTATTTTTGCTACTTCACCAAGCTGTGGGTATACCAGCACTACAGGTGATGCGATCATATGGTAATAAGATAGTGCTTTTTAGTTTATTGAACATTTTCCTAATCTTTACTCTATTTGATCTTCACAACAATCCTGTGAGGTAGATAAGAACCCGTTGCCGTTGAGTTGCTTTCGACTCATAGTGACTCTACAGGACAGAACTGTCCCATAGGGATTCCAAGGGGGCAGCTGGTGGATTCCAACTGCCAATAAGGTAGATAGAGGGGCTATTACCAAACCCATTCCAATTTTACTTATGAGAAAACAGTCAGTGAAAGTCAACCAAGAAGTAGCAGAACCAGAAGTGAAAATGCATGCCTTCTGACTCCTGGGCTTTGAAAAACTGTGAGTAAATCTTTCACTGTAAATCGCTGCCACCAAGTTACATCTTACTTCCAGTTCTTACTCAGATGCCAATTAGGGGTGGGGATGGGGAATGAGGGAGAATCAGTCAAAGAAACCGATACCCATGAGATTTATAGAAATGATGGTAATATATATAATCCCTCACCTAAGAACACAAAGAGCAATCCTTGAGTAACCATCCCAATCAAGTGCATTCAAATAGAAAAAAGAAAAGTGGCTTTCATCTTTATGTAATAAACTAAAATTTCAAGACTTACTCCTAATACCTCTTTTCTATGCTTCCAGAATTTATATAGCCAACAGTCGCACACGTCATGCTTTAAAAGCTCTCAAAGATCAGGGAGAACACTGAAAACTGTCAGTTAAACACATTAAGGTAAGCTACTTGTTATTTTTGAATATATTTCAAGTTCTTTAGAACTAGAAGAATAAAAAAGTAAGAAAAGGAAACCAAGCAGTGTATTAACATTAATGTTGCAAACTGGCCTGGCTTCAGACCCTCAAGCGAGAGGAACAGGATCACCTTGATCAAGAAGGGTCTGACTTCTACTTAGGGCCGAGCAACATCCATATGTTCATGAGACCTCCTTTCAGCAAGATGGTAAGATGACCACTAAGACCCAAAAAGCTAGCCATTGTTCATTTCAGCAAACATTTCTTAAGTGCCTTTTATATGCATAACTACCTTGGTGAAGAAATTTGGTTTTTCATTCAGGGACGTTATATAAACATTTGCTCACTACTCCTACTCTCTTGCGGTAGATTCTGAATCACGTGCAATTTATCACTCCCTCCCCTTTCACCTCTTAAAAACAAATTACACATGTAACAACGTGTCCCTGCAGGAAATTTTTTCTTAAATTGAATCATCTAGAATCCCTTCATCCAGAAAAACCACTGTTAACATTTTGATGTATACATTTCTAGACTTTTTCCTGTTACAGCGCACAAAAATGGGATCATGCTACATAAAGCATTACTTTTTTTAAAGGCAACTTACAAAGTTGTCAGCATTTTTCCACCTGTCATTCTTTTTCAACCAACAATAAAAGATTTTCAACCAACAACAAAACACAATACACATAAAAGGCAGTCAGCACTTATCAAATAGATGAACCACCTTTGATACTTCATGCAATGTAAGTAAGTACATGCTTTCCAGATTTAAAAATAACTGAAACACAAAAATGCTGTAGGAGAGCTTGACTAGAACCCCACTACCTGTCCAACTTCGTGTCAGTTTTTGTTGAAGTAGACGGTCATAAGCATTTGATTAAATAGCTACTTTTTAGTGCGGTACAAATCTTTCTCCCTCTGCCAAGAGTTAAACTGCTTCAAAGTACTCGTGTTCCTAGGCTGCACTTAAAAATAGAACCAAACACGGTTTATAACCACCCTATGAGTCGGAATTGACTTGACTGCAGCCAGTTTTTTTTTTAACAGAGGGTTAGACTACAGGCTGGAGACCTGAGCGCCGGAAGACCCACGCCTGCTTTCTGCACAGGCGGCTCCAGCACGGGATGCGCCGCCGCTACCAGAGCGTCACGATCCGCCCGGCGGGGCCCAAGGGCCAGCGTGGCACCGAGGGACGTCCGGAGCTCGGATGCCGCAGGATATGCCCGTTGCATGGGTCGGTCAGGAGCTGCCGCGACCCAGCCGTCTCCACCCCACGCCACGCACCGGCCTGTGTGGGCCGGGGACCGGCGACTAGCGGCCGGCGCTGAGGGGACTCCCAGGACCCGACCCCAGAGGCTCCACAAGGGAAAAAGGCAGCAGGGCGCCGAGGCGTCCCCCGGAAGGGGTGGAACGGCCTTCGAGATGGGGGATGGGGCGCCATCCCGCCATAAAATGAAGCAGGTTTTACTTGAGAAGAGCCATCTGCTCTTTCCTGCCTTCTCCGGGTGGGAGCGGCGCCCGCACGCCCACGTCTCCTGCAGCCGCCCGCGCTGGCCCGCTTGCTCCTCCGTCACGCTCACCAGCGCCTCGGGGCCCGGCAGGCGGGCCCAAGTGCAGCGCCGAGGCTGCTGCGGCCCAGGCGCC